GATAAGTATCCAGCCCTGAGCAAGGACCTTGGATGAGTACATCAGACACCTGATGCTTCAATGGCAGGATCGCGAGGCAGACCTTCGGTGGGCAGCTCTCAGCGTTCAGCTGAGGACAACTTTGCGTTCTTCGGCAAGTTTAGCATTCACTTTTCTGTTGACCCCGATCAGCTTACACAGAGACCCTGTCAAGAACTCTGAGGATTTTTAGCTTGATGCCCCAGGAAAGTAATTCTTTTTACAGGCGCTAGGGCAGGTGTCCTGCAAAATGGCCATATGGTTTTGGGTATTTGTTTTGTGCAAGGAATGGGAGTCAGGATGAGGGACATCCAGGAATCCCTCAGCGTTCTGCTGCTCCGGGCCGATGCCCTGGACCAGGCTAAACACAAGTGTCCCAGGGTACTGACTAAGACACATGCCTTCGACGCTTTGCTGAGACCGAGCCTGTCGGTGATGGGCGCAAGGCCACGCCCTGGCCTTTGACATAAAGGACCCAGACAACTTCAAGAACACCAACTCGAACGTTGAAGGGATGGCTCGGGTATTGGACATCGTCTACAGGAGTTGCAACTCTTCCCTTCCTCACCACGTGGCCATCTTGCAGGACAACTGTTCTCGAGATTGTAAAAATGGGTTGTTGCTTTCCTGGTGCATCAAACTCAAAGTCCTCGGGGTTCTCGACAAGATCTCCCTGCTGTACCCTGAAAAAGGGCATACCCATGGGCCGCTGGATGCCCTAGGCGGGCAGGCAGTTGTCAAGTGCTCCAACAGCGAGTTTAGCACACCAGATGAGCTGGTGTCCCTGTACACTGGATTCCTTCAGGATTCCAAGGTGGATGGTGGTGCATCTTTCCGAGGTGCTTGGAAAGGCATTTCGGCCATGGTTATGTAAGAGTCTTTGTGGTATTTCGGCCATGGTTTGAGGATCCAGAGTTTTGCCTGGAGAGGGGCTGGTGGGGGGAAGGGGGGAGGGGGGGTTGGAAACTATCAATTTTAATTCCGAGTGGTTACCAAGCAACAGCAAGGCGACCAACAAGCCGACTGGAAGAGCTGGTGGGAAGAGCTTGGCTTGGTTTTTGCAAACCTAACAGGACCGCAAGCGCCACACTCGCTGCTGCTACTGCAAGTGAGAGCTTTCTTTTCTGTGTGAGAGGTTGGCTTGGTATAGGCAGATCCTGGTGTGAAAATTTGAAGAAACTTTGTAGCCCAGGTTTGAGATCACAACTCTCCGAGCACTGGGGTACCTGCAAGTGCCTGTGACAGCATGGCCAGGGGCCCCAGCTTCCCACCCTGAGGACATCGTCCTCGTTGTAAGACAAAGGATGGCTTCTCGTCGATACTTTCAGGTGTGCCTGCTACTCCCTGGAGCACAAGTGCCGGCGATGAAAGCTAGACTTTCACGACAACCTCAAGGAATTTACCCGCGCAAGAACATCAAAGACAAAGAGAAGGTCATAGCCAAGGCCCAGCAGGCTCACAGGGAAGGTTGCATCAGCGAAACTTTGCTGCAAACTATAGTGAACCAGCATTGTTACCATAAGACGTTGGCCCTAGACTTCAATGGATCCTGATTCCAACTCATGCTGAGGATGCTGCTTGTGAATTCTTGGTCAGCTGGGTCAAAGGCACACTCAGACGGCATCCAAGACCTGCCCAGTACGAGTTCTTGAACCACAGGCTGCTTAGTTGAACAAAGGATCGACAACCAGTGACCCGGACACAGCCCACTTCACCCTTAGAAGCCTTAGGCTGATATTGTCCCTAAACCCTAAACCCTAAACCCTACACTCTTTGTCTCTCAGGTTCGTTGATGATGATGGCGGCCCTCCTGTTCCTGCAAGAGAGATGCCAGCCGAAGTTCGACCGATACGAGTGCGAGCAGAATCGGGAGCACAACTGCCAGCGGACAATGAGGATGATGAGGATGCAGAGGATGAATGATTAGTTTTGTGCTCCTGAAGCAGGCAAAGCAGGCAAAGTCAACAAGTAAGCTTTAGTCAAATTGTTGACCTTCTGTGTTATAGGCAACCCCTGGTAAAAGTAAGCTTTATGGCCATTTGCTTGCTTCTTAACCGTTTTTCCTCCACCAAAGCTTACTTGTGCGCTCCTCCTCATCCTCCTCATCCGGCTGCGCCTCCCGGCACAAAGCCTGCGGTTGTTTGCTACGGTGAGGGTTTGGCATTGAACACTAGAGGAACCTTCCTATTCCTAGAACCTTCTTAGATCCTGAACCCTAACCCCCCCCCCCCCTCCTTCAGGGTACAGGATTTAAGGTTGAGGTTTAACCTTCGAACCCTCCTAGACACTCAACCCTAAACATCAAGAGAGGCCTTTTGGAAGTCTACCAGGTATAGGGCTTAGGGTTTAGGATCTAGGGGAGAACTAAATTGACCCTCCTAGAACCTAAAACCTAAACCTTAAACCTAAGGCCTAAACTTTGAACCCTTTGGCGATTTGCTGCAGTCTTTGCGCCGCGAGGCGCAGCCTGAGAACCCCAACACTAAACCCACAACCCTCCAAACAAACTGCAGGCTTTGCGCCTCACGGCGCAGCCTCAGAAGCCCAAACCCCAAACCCACTGAACCCGATACCCAGGAAACCAGGCATTGCGCCTCGCGGCGCAGCCTGAGAAGGCCAAACCCCAAACCCACAAAACCCGATACCCACGAAACTCGAAACAAACAACTGCAGGCTTCGATACCCAAACCGATACCCAAACCCCAAACCCACAAAACCCGATACCCAAGAAACCCGAAACAAATCGATGCCCAGGCTTGGATACCCAAACCGATACCCGAACCCAAACCCTAAACCTTTAGGAAGGTTCAAAGTGTTAAGGCTCTAGGAAGGTTGATTAGGAGAGTTGATTAAGCGTTAAACCTAACTCCTAAACCCTAAACCCTGGACTTGCAAAGCCTGCTAGGCCCTGGACATGATGGTGGTGCGCTGGCGTGCCTGGAAACCGTGGAGCACTGGCACATTTGGAGGTCCGAGACAGGGGGTAGAGGGTGGCTTGAAGGAGTGCTTAGTGACTAAGGCTTAGTGCTGAAGTTAAAGGAGCGCTTTATGCTGAAACATGCACCTACTACTCGACATGGATGCACTAAAGGGGCTGCTTCTGGAAAGAAATGAAGGCGGGCCGTCTTAGGGCTTTGGACTTTTAGTTCCACACAGTTTACAAGAGCATTCTTGTTACACTGGAGATTAGACATTGTGTTTTCTGCAGCAATTTTGGCCCCACTGCAGTCCTTGTTTGTCTGACTGTCCCAACTTGCCAATGGCCGTGGCCGGAAAGGCTCAGCAGCCTCTGGTGGAACTTAACGAGCTGCCATCAGCAAGAGAGGAGCTGCACCAGTTGCTGGTTCAGCTTTACACAACGCTGTCTGAGGAGCAAAGTTTCCTGGAGTTGCTCATGGATGAGTACCGAGCCAGCTGGACACTGGGAACGCCGATCAAGCATTGGCACCATCGGTGGATGGAATTCCACCGTGAGAACCCTGAGGCTGGAAATCGTTTCTCTCCAGGAAACTGGTTCTGGTACTTCGGCATGGTGGTCCTCCTTCCAGGTGAGATGCAGGGTCGTAGCGACGACAAGAATGCGGGCGATTTTACAGAAGGATTCCTGATGTTCGTCTACGATGCAGGATCCTACTGTCGTCACAGCCGAAAGGTTTTCTACCGTTTGTGCCGCTGGGTGCTGGCTTTGAAGAAGTTCCTTGAGCTGTCTTTGCCAATGGCCGAGGACATTTTCGCCTGCCAGCCGACATGGACTTGGCAGCATGTCACTGTCTTTAATGATATGCTTGCTGCCCGGGGCGTGTGAGTGCGAGGGTTGCAGTTTATTCCTGAATCAAACCACTGTGGCAGATGTCCTCAAACCTTAAGCTCTTACCCCGGAATCGACACTGCAAGCCTCGACTTGCTTTGAATACCATGACTTTCATGGATGAAATTTGTGTAGTGATGTACACACAAAGATTCAGAAGTCCAACTCGCTTGCGAGGGAAAAAAAGGGGCAAAGTCTGCTTGCTTGCAAGGTTCTTTCGGTTGAGGTTTAGGGTCTAGGGTTTGGAGGACATTTGTTTGCTTGTTGGCGGTGCCCTCCCCGCTACCCTCTCCCCCTTTACCTGCAACCTGCAAGCACTCACAAAGCGCAACCGGTTGCGCTATGTATATTCCCAAGCACTCACGAAGCGCAACCGGTTGCGCTATGTATATTCCCAAGCACTCACAAAGCGCAACCGGTTGCGCTATGTATATTCCCAAGCACTCACAAAGCGCAACCGGTGTATATTCCCAAGCACTCACAAAGCGCAACCGGTTGCGCTATGTATATTCCCAAGCACTCACAAAGCGCAACCGGTTGCGCTATGTATATTCCCAAGCACTCACAAAGCGCAACCGGTTGCGCTATGTATATTCCTGCAAGCACACAGCCGCAGCACTCTCCCCCTTTACCTTCTCCCGTAGTACCTGACCTCTCCTGTACCTCTCCCAAAGCACAAAACCCAAAAACACTTCGATGCAACACAAGCACACACACACACACACAAGGGCAGCTGCACAGATGATGTGACTGTGAAGTGTAAACTCAGTCGACAGCTGGGCTTCAGCAGATGGTTTTGTTATTGTGGGACTTCGTTGTGGAAGCTGTGACCCTGGCAACAGGCCTCGAAGGCGAACCATCGGCCCAGGCAACCGACCTCAGCTTTTTGTGACACACCAGGGCTTCGGTCTTTGGATTCTCTGCAGACTTCTAGAACAGCGAATCTTCTTTTGCCAGGGTGTTGCAATTGTCAGCTGTGCAGTCGGTCAAAGGAACCTCTCCTGTCACTTGAGAGAGCTTGAAACGGATCCGGAGCCCTTGACCTTCAGGTGGCTCCACCAAGTGGGGAGCTCAGCCACGAACTGGTTCCACTTGGAGCGGATGTGCTCTGCAGTCACTTAAGTTTAGACTTGGATTAAGTGCCTGACTGGACTTGCACAACACATGAAAACCATCAAACGAAAAATCCAAAACATGTCCGGGGCTCCGCCTCACCCTGCTCCACCTCACCCTGCTCCACGTCACCCTGCTCCACGTCACCCTGAAGCTCCACCTCACCCTGAAGCTCCACCTCAGTCTGAAGCATCTCAGCCGGCTGCTGCTCTGAGGTCCGCTGCGCATCCAGCCGTGCAGCTGGCTCCGTCGGCTGTGCTTTCGCCTGCAGAGCAGTCTGAAGCATCTCAGCCGGCTGCTGCTCTGAGGTCCGCTGCGCATCCAGCCAAGGTGCAGGTGGCTCCGTCGGCTTTGCTTTTGACTTCAGAGCAGACCGCGGGTCCATGGCAGCTCGTGTTTCGGTGACCTAGTGTGTCAGGTTTTTTTGGCTGCACCTGTACATAGAAGCCCTTCAGTGGAATTCCTCTCCTTTAAGATTTCTCTATTGCACCTATACTGCTTGTGTTTCGGTGACCCACTGTATGAGCCCTGCACTCGAGCCTCAACGGTTTCAGAGGGTCACTGGCAGAGAGTAGGAACTGTTTGCAATTCTAAGGAACCTTGCCTTTCAGGCTGCACCTTTCGGCGCAAGCCGTTTGTTTCTGTGTGGGGACGACAGGTGAGCAGGAACTCGTTTGCAATCATAATTTCTTGCAAATCACCTGTCAGAATTCCTGGAACTAGAAAACATCATCCTCCCAAACCATTCCAAACACAATCTCTAATCTCCAGCCAAACAAGAATGCTCTTGTAAACTAAAGTTGCAAAGCCCTAAAACGGCCCGCCTTCATGTCTTTTGAGAAGTCGGTGGCTCTGCAGGTCTTTCCGGGGGCAGGGGCCTGCAGCAGCGGAACTCCAAGGCAGGGGCCGGGGCAGCACAAGCACAAGTAAGCTTTGGGGGAGAGAACGCCCAAGAAGCAAGCAAATGGCTGCCCCTTTTGTGGATCCAGGTTGAGTAGTAAGTGCATGTTTCAGCACTATTGCACCCACTCCGAACACCCTTCCCAGCCTCAGGGCAGGCTTGGGTTGCTTTGACAGGCGAGAAGTAGAACATTCATGATGGGATATTGCTGCCTCAGACTCAGCAGTCCATACATGCTACATGATGATTGTGAGCGCAGGAAGGTTGTGGGATCCTGCAGTCCGGTGTCGGGGTGGTTGCAGGAATACACATAGTGCAACCGGTTGCGGTTTGTGTGTGCTTGCAGGAAGATGCATAGGGCAGCTGGTGTGGGACCTAGTGTCTGGCCTTGCACTAGCTGCCAGTGCCAGGCTGGTGGGCTGTCGCAATCTTCTGCCCTGGCCGGGAGCTTGGGAGCATCTAGCCGCTTCCAAACGCAGCAACCCAATTACATGATCCATGATCCATGATCACTCTGGGTACGGTGCCGGAAGGTTGCAAGCACCTGGAAGACACTTACTTATTACTGCTGTGTGCTTGCAGGAATATACATAGCGCAACCGGTTGCGCTTTGTGAGTGCTTGCAGGTTGCAAGCACCTGGAAGACACTTACGGCTGTGTGCTTGCAGGAATATACATAGCGCAACCGGTTGCTCTTTGTGAGTGCTTGCAGGTTGCAAGCACCTGGAAGACACTTACTTATTACTGCTGTGTGCTTGCAGGAATATACATAGCGCAACCGGTTGCGCTTTGTGAGTGCTTGCAGGTTGCAAGCACCTGGAAGACACTTACTTATTACTGCTGTGTGTTTGCAGGAATATACATAGCGCAACCGGTTGCGCTTTGTGAGTGCTTGCAGGTTGCAGGTAAAGGGGGAGAGTGTAGCGGGGAGGGCACCGCCAACAAGCAAACAAATGGCCATCCGAACCCTAGACCCTAAACCTCGACCACCAGTACAGTACATGTTCTGTCGAAAGAACCTTGAAATCAAGCAGACTCTGCCTCGCAAGCGAGTTGGCCAGGCTGGCAGGCTGTGGCAATCTTCTGTCCTGGCCGGGAGCTTGGGAGGGAGCATCTAGCCGCTTCCAAACGCAGCAACCCAATTACATGATCCATGATCACTCTGGGTACGGTGCAGGAAGGTTGCAAGTACCTGGAAGACACTTACGGCTGTGTGCTTGCAGGAAAATACATAGCGCAACCGGTTGCGCTTTGTGAGTGCTTGCAGGTTGCAAGCACCTGGAAGACACTTACGGCTGTGTGCTTGCAGGAATATACATAGCGCAACCGGTTGCGCTTTGTGAGTGCTAGCAGAAAATGGACAGCTGCTTGCGGTTTGATGGTTACACCTGTGAAAAAAGGCTACTGCCTGGGCTTCTACTGCAGCTGCCACCCCCCCCCCGGCTCATGACCCAACTTTTTTCAACGTCGCTGGTCCTGGAGCTAAATTCTGATTCTGATCTACTGTTGTCCCATGATCAGAGTTTCAGCATCTGAATCATCAGTGTTCCTGTCCTGCTCGACGAGTACTTCGTCCACACCCTGCTGCATGAAGTGAGGCGCAGGGCCCAGCGTGGCAGGGTCTCGGTTGGTTCGGAGGACTTGCCGCATCATTGCATCCCACTGCTCTTGAAGGAGGGGCCAAGGCTCAGGGGCTCGAGCTTGGTCTCGTAGGAAAGACTCGTAGTCGGCTGTCAGACTGGCCACGAACTGTCCCCAAGTCACCTGTAGCCGGCGTCTTTTGGGTGGCTTCGGCGGCGTAAAGTCAACAGTGGCAGGCGGCTGCCTCTTTGGAGGTGTGTGTCCCCCGTTGCCACGCTCCAACGACATGATGCTGATGAGTCGACTCACTAAAAAAGTCTGAGCCGGACCACACGGACAGCGCTGCATTCATGTTGTCACAGCACGCAATCATACCGAATGCCAAGTGCTTCGGCGCATGCCAAATGCGTGGGGGGGGGGGGGGGGGGGGTGGCAGCTGTTGTAACCATCAAACCGCAACCAGCTGTCCATTGCATTTTTCTGCAAGCACTCACAAAGCGCAACCGGTTGCGCTATGTATATTCCTGCAAGCACACAGCCGTAAGTGTCTTCCAGGTGCTTGCAATCTGCAGGCACTCACAAAGCGCAACCGGTTGCGCTATGTATATTCCTGGTTTAGGGTTCGGCATGACAAGCACCTCATTTTGTTCTTGTCCTGCAACAGCCTCAGTGGTGTGTATGTGCCCTCAGAACTGCATTTGGCCTGTGCCGCATCCTTCTTCAAGATTGCCAATCACATTCGCCCAAACACATTCAGAATGTCTGAAGCTCTTCACTCCAAAATTCTTTCGCTTCATATACCCTGCTCGCAGCTCATCGGGGTCGCTCAACGGACCTGCGGCCATTGCAAAAGTCAGGAGGCCATGCACCTTGCATGATGCCGGAATCGTCACCTTGCAGTCACGCACCCTTTCAAGCCAGGCATATGCCACACCCAGCACACTGTGGACATGGGACATCTTGAAGGCTGCAGCAATCTTGAGATCATCCATCTCACCTTCTAGGGCTTGCAGCAAGTTGTCAACTGATGCTGTTCTGGATCCTGAAGTTGCCTGCCACCCAAATTGGAACAGGGAAGGTTTGGCAGTGGTTTTCTGCCGAAGTCTCCTGCTCAGGACCTTCTGGTGATGCCGCCCTATCCTGTTGTTTGGATCACACTTCTTGCAAATGTTCTTTGGGGGCCTTCTGTAGGTTCGGCCGTCGACACATAGTTTGCACCGCCAGCCAGACCCCATTGCAATTGCAAATGTCTCGGCGTTCTAGTGGAACAAATAATAGACCTTGAAGCAAACCTAAAGTTTGACAACGGCACAGCCAACGCACAACAGCAAGCACTTCCATGAAAAGCAACATGAAAATTCTTCAAGCAAGCATGAAGCTGATGCTGATTGGTTGCTCTAAGCTGGCTGTCGTGCTTGATCCCAGAAACCGCCGGGATAAGCAAGCTGCGAATAAAAGCATTTTCAGCACTATTGCACCCACTCCGAACACCCTTCCCACCCCACCCCCCTCTCGGACCTCCAAATTTGCCAGTGTCTTCTGGCAGGCCAGCGCACCACCATCTCCAGGGCCTAGCAGGCTTTGCAGGTCCAGGGTTTAGGGATTAGGAGTTAGGTTCAACCCTCCTAGAGCCTTAACAGTCTGAACCTTCCTAAAGGTTTAGGGTTTGGAGCCTGGGCATCGATGTGTTTCGGGTTTCGTGGGTATCGGGCTTTGTGGGTTTAGGGTTTGGGTATCGGGTTGGGTATCGAAGCCTGCAGTTGTTTGTTTCGGCTCTTTTGCATGTCGGGAGAAGCCTTCTGAGTTGCCTGTAGGGGCAAGAGAACAGCTGCTGGTGATTGTGCAGCTGATGATGAGCAAGCCACCTCCACAGTCCTGCCTTGTACTTGGCCACCTCCGAGATCGCCTTTTCCATTCTCTCCTTGTACACATCTGCTCTGGCCGCATCCACATCAAGATTCCAAGGGGAGCAACAAGCGATAGCAGGATTGCACCCAATGAGATGAAGCAGCAAAGCGCACCCAGTCTTCAACTGCAAGCAGCAGGAGAAAGCGCGCCCCTTCCCGGCGACTTAACAACAAGCCACGGAAGCTTGGTTCAAGGATATGCGTGAAGAGATCAACCGGGGCTTGCAAACGCTGCAAAAGACCCTCTTCGTGGAAACAACGCAGACGCAACCGCACAGGTGCAAAAGGGGTGCCTGCAGGGATGGGCAACCCGGAGTCGTCAGAGGAAGACGACGACGCCTCACTAGAGGAGGAATTGTCCATCCGCTGGCCGATCGCGGCGCAGCTTGCACGAGCTCTAAGAGCACTCGTAGCGCCTGTAGGGGCCCTTAAACTAGAAGGCGGCCTCGAACCCAGACAAAATTTTGCACTGCACTACTCACGAGCCAGTGCTGCACATACAGGCACTCAAGATGAATCACACATCAAGCCTCTCACTGCAAGACTGCCGTCACGCAAAGAACAGCCTATGTACTGCAACAGTATGCTCATCACAGTTGCAGTTTTGCCTAGGTGGCACAGGGCTTTGCTGCAACACTACACCTGAGCCTTAAATCCTATGGAATGCACAAACTGGTTTCTACACTGCGCCCTGGGTTTATAATACCTTGTATGATCGCCCCTGCGCCTTTCGGCACTGTGGCGGCCTACTCCTTGCGGCACACAGCCTGGTAATTCTAACTGCATAGAAGCCCTTTGTGACAGCCTTCAATCAGTCAGAGGCTCACATCATGACATGGCTTCATGACTAGCACTTGCACAGCACTGAAACAAACAGACACCCCAAACAGTAACACCAAAAGCATTTGCACCATCAGCTTAGCCCTGCCTGGTGGAGTTCTGGAGGTGAAGCAACTGGCCTTAAAGTGACAAACCATGAGAAACCAAAGGATCAACATGCTGAGTGGATTCAAGGCACATGTTAAGCACTGACAAAGCTCGCCCAGGCCAAACCTCTGGGAAAACCAGTGCTGAGGGCAGGACTGCTGAAGATTGGCAGATCTGGGTCGTCACAACTTGCCCAGAATGCAAGGAGAAGGGGGGGGGCTGGGGTTGACAGTTTACAGTTTGGTTTGACAGCATGATCGCCCCTGTGCCCCCCTTGAGCCTGGAATGACAAATTGGGTCTTGCTCTGCTCAGGCAGCGCCTTTCGATTTTGAGCTGCACCCCTGCTCCTTGGGTTAGGGTCCAGGGTTTGTTGTTTAGGGTTTTGGGTTTTTAAGGTTTGGCAGCAAATCCTAAACCCGAAACCCTGCAAAAACCTTATTCTTTAGGGTTTTGGGTTTCGGATTCAAGGCTGCGCCTTTCGGCACAAACCTTTTGGAGGCAGCGCCTTTCAGCACAGTGCCGACTTGCTCCTGGGTTAGGGTTCAGGGTTTGTTGTTTAGGTGTTTAGGGTTTTTGGCTTCGGATCTAAGGGTTGGCAGCAAACCCTAAACACCAACTAAACCCGAAACCCTGCAAAAACCTGAGGGCCCAATTGCTCTTCCTGAAGGAGCGTTGATGCTGCGACTGAGGCTCTGACATCCTTGGTGGCAAGATTTTTATGCCGCCCTGCCCCCCCCCCCCCCCTTTCTGCTCCATCTCACAAACCCTCCCGACCCATCCCTGCTGGATTACTGAGGCTTTGAAGGCACAACTATATTAGCACTGTGCTGGAACATTGAGCTGTGCAGCTTAGAGTCAATTTTTTTGGGGCCGTTTTGACAATGTTTTCAATTTAAGCTTAAATAAACATTTTTTTGAGAGCCCATGTTTTAGAACCATTTTTTCAGCCATTTTTTTCAACTCATCAAGCAGTCATCCTGACATCATGGTTGCTATATACAGTTTTTTTTGCTTATTGCTGTTTGGACAATGTTTTTTTATTTAAGTTTTAAAAAGCCTTTTTTTTGAGAGCCCATGTTTTAGAACCATTTTTTTTCAGCCATTTTTTTCAACTCATCAAGCAGTCATCCTGACATCATGGTTGCTATATACAGTTTTTTTTTGCTTATTGCTGTTTGGACAATGTTTTTTTATTTAAGTTTTAAAAAGCCTTTTTTTTGAGAGCCCATGTTTTAGAACCATCTTTTTTTCAGCCATTTTTTCAACTCATCAAGCAGTCATCCTGACATAATGCATGCTATATACAGGTTTTTTTGGCTTATTTTACATGCATGTGTTTGGTTGTGAAACCTCTGATTGGTTTTGAAACCTCTGAATGACACGATCATGGCTTTCCAGTCGCGGGCGGGCATTGACGCCATCGTTGCGACCGTCCGAGCGGCGCTGGACTCGCGCGAGGACGTAGTCGTCGTTTCGCTCGATGGCCGCAGTGCCTACGATAGCATCTCGCGAGCGGCTTTCCTGGTCAAGTTGCAGGAAGTGGCGCCAGAACTGCTGCCATTCGTGCGCATGTTCTATGGTCGCCCCTCCACCTATAGCTGGTGGGACGCGGCCGGCCGCAGGCGTGATGTCCACCAGGCCGAGGGCTGCGAGCAGGGCGACCCGCTGGCCCCCGCGTTATTTGCCTTGGGGCAACACGGTGCTCTCGCACGGGCAGCCGGTGACCTCGATCCAGCCGACAAGCTGCTGGCATTCCTTGATGACCTCTACGTCATCACGGTGGCGTCAAGAGCACGTCCGGCACTCGACACGGTGACCGGGGCAGTGGAGGAGCACTGTGGCATCGCATCCAATCTTGGCAAAACGCGAGGGCTCGGAGGCTCGGAGGGGCCTGCTCCGCCGGGCCTGGCTGAGCTTGGGCCCGACGTGTGGAGGGGGGACCGGCACGAGCGAGGCATGGTTGTGCTGGGCTCCCCTGTAGGCCACACGGATTTCGTGCATGCCTGGGCGGTGCGCCGGCTGCTCGAAGAGCAACAACTCCTGCAGCAACTGCCCCAGCTCCCTGACCTGCAATGTTCATGGTTGCTGCTCGCGCTCTGCGCGTCTCCGCGCGCGAACCACGCTCTGCGCACGGTGCCCCCAACCGCCATTGCCTCGTATGCCGCAGGCCACGACGATGCCATCTGGCACACGCTACTGGACTGCTTGGGCGGCGAGGCAGGGGCCCCACCAGAGGATGCGCACCTCGCGCGGGCGACCGCTTTCCTGCCGGCAGCGTTAGGTGGCTTAGGTCTGCAGTCGGCGACGCGCTCGGCGCCGGCGGCTTGCTGGGCAGCCTGGGCGGACGCCTTGCCCCCCCCAAACCCTTCCTTAAACAACAGCCCCGTGTGCTTCCTTTGCTTCCTTGTTGAACGTGCGAGGGGGTCTCTAACACGCAGTTTTGGGAAACGCTTCCTATTGCCACCCCCCCCACCCACCCCCCCCATTGCGGATCTCGAGGCCAAGAGGTGGGGAGAAAAACAAAGTGTGTCAATGGTCGTTGTTGGACGTGCTGTGCAGCGGACATGGTTCATCATCCATCGCTATGATTCCAGACCTCCGTTGCATCGTTGTTCGGGAGGCGTTCGGGGCGCTTGGAGTGAGGCGGATCCGATGCGCCCAATCAGTGCCGCCTAACCGTGATTAACTGCAAAAAAAACAACAGGTTGTGTTCACGCATTTCGTTTCTTAGCATCACAATGTTGCGACATTGCCCTTTATCAAGAGCCATTTTGCCCCGTGAACAGACCTTCCCCAGTGATCAACCATTCGTTTTCGATGGCCCTAGCGGCCCTCGTGGTCTTGATGTCGGTTTCCTTTTGCCAGGATACGTTGAAACGTTTGCTTGTGCCATTAGTTGCCGTGCCAGACCAAGTCGACATTCAATGGCGCCTTCTGAATCAAGCGGATGGACTATGCAGCACAGCGTTGGCTTCGTTCTATGCCCCCCATGAACATGTGCATTGTAATTGTGCTGAATACTGAGGGGGTTCGTGTTTCGTTCATTTCGCGCAACTAGAATTCGTGCAATCGTTTCACTCATTCACAGTTTTGTGTCGCTTATTCGCTGCGAATTTTATTCGTCATATGAAGTGAGTGAGCGAATGGGCTTCGAGTGGGTGCGGGCAACGCCGGGGTTGCGGAGCGGTGGTCCCCCCACGGTCCAGGAGGCCTCCGCAAGCGCATCATCGTGGGGTCAGGGGCACGGGCATTCGCGTCCGGCGGAGGTCCCTGTCGGGCAAGCGCAGAGTGATGTTCTATGGTTCGATGCTAGTCCTGACCGCGTGTGCAAACCGAAGTTCGCACCACCATCGTTGGCTCGCTGGCACGAGCAGCTCAAGACTTTGGCCGGGGGCCTATGACCCATGAGACTCTTTCTGGTCTGGTTGCTCTGCCAGGTGCAAGAGCGCGCCGCCCTTCGCGGCAATGAGCGTGAGTTTGTGAAATCGTCCCGGTGGCGGTCCGACTTCGCGAAGACGAAGATCGTGCTGTGGTCCAACTTCGAGGATGCCACCGTCTACATGTTGTACGAGCTGGCAATGGCGAGCTTCTGGCCATATCAGCAATTCCGCCCGAACGTCCAGGCCATCTTCAGTGACGATCGTCGGTTCAACGCAGAGCTCATGGGCGAAATGGTGGTGAACAAGCTGCTGGACTATCGGTCGTCCTTCCGCTCCAGATCTGATGGCGACGTGTTCCTTGTTGTCGCATCCTCCAAGTACTCGCCCGTTGACGACAGCTTCATGCAGTCCCTTCACTCACAGCGTCGAGGGAGGTCTGCGTCCTTCACCTTGAGGGATCTCATCAGCCATTGCTATGTGGACTCGGGGGCTGATGGAAGGGACCCAGGCTCCTTTGCAAGGGCCATGGCCGTGGAATGGAATGGCAAATCCTTCAAAGACTACAACTTCTGGATCCGCCCGGTAATTTTGCTTGATGAAAGCTGGCTTGTCGCAGACTATGACCGAGGTCCTTCCAGAGCAGCTGCGGTCGCGGAGGTCGCTGACGCGGAGCGGATGGCGGAGATGCACACGCAGCAGAAGCTTGCGAAGTACATGGTGCAATCCATCACCTCGGGCCCCAGCAAGTTCCAGTACCATGTCGACTTAGTGGGAATTCGGAGACTTAGGGCTGCCCCCCCCCATGTACAGGGCTAAGGGAATGTGACCAAAGTTTCCAGAATCCCTTTTCACGAAAACCACAACCCCCTTTTCACTTTAGGTTTCGTCTGCCCGCAGGTACAAGATGGGCCTACTGGGCGGGAACGGTCCCATCGCAGGGGCCTTTGCTGTTTTGACTCTTGCGGAGACTAGATCGCGTTGGCAAATCGTGGTTTCGAGGTCTAAAAGGGGCTTGATGTAGCCTGTGGCAAGAGGTTTGATTTAGCTAGGTGCTGGTGACTGGTGATATGGGACCATGGAACTGAATTGCAAGCGCTACAAGCCCTCAACCGCAAGCCTTCGTTAGACGTCGCTAAGAGGGTCCAAGCCTAAGCTCGAATCGTAATACGACAAGCGGTTCTGGCCCTAATCCCGATCTTGCCCGTGGCAAAAAACCTATCTCGTATTTCTTACTTTTGTTCCTATAAATCCCAAGAGGATATTAAGAATGGTATTTTTGTTGAGGTGCTAAGGGGAGTATAGAAACCAGTTGAGGAGACCTTGCTGAAGGCTGGCCAAGGCCTTGGGCATGTAGGCTTAGAGCTCTTCTCCCAGTCTCAGCATCCCATGTCAGCTGTTGAAGCCATGCGGTACCCGCACCTCGGCTGCTGTTGAGGGAACCTAAGACACAGAGGCCGTTTTATTTTCCGGACATCCTTGATAGATGTGGTACCTGGCACAAACAAGTAACATAGATCACCTTCGAAGCCACCGAGGAGCATGGTCGAAGCCTACGTGACCGGCTTGAGCAAGTTCCTGACCAGGAGGGATATCGACATCTACGGCTGCGCGAGCAACACCTGGTATCAGAATCTGCAACTTTAGCACTTTATAAGTTTTGGGGTTCCTTCATATCAAGGGAGCTAAAAGTTAAACTTTTACTTGGTTAAAGAGAGCAAGCAAGGTATCAGAATCTCTATGCCCCGACGTCCCTGAGTTGGGGGATGGCTGTTCAGTCGGGCTTCAGGATGCTCCACATGCCACGGGCCACCGTCCGGAAAGCCACCCAGTGCTTCTGGGCTGCGCCATTAAGGGACATCTTTTGGCCGCAAAACAACGTACGCACAGGTTGAACGCGTTTGAGAAGAAGCTGAAGAATATTTACCTTCCCGAGTAGGATGATTTCCATTGATACTACTGTGCAAAGCCATTGGGCACGTACAAAAGCCAGTAAGAGGCCTTCGGGAAGCATTGCGAATGAATTCCTAGATGACTGCGTGCAAGTGATGCCCGGAAGCTGATGAATAGATATCTGCTCACAGTATTCTCGCTTCTCTGGGGCTTATATGTAGCAGTCAAATAAAAATTCAACATGCAGGTGTGCAGGACTTAATTTGACATATTTGACTTGACAAAAAAGCTTGATGATAGAGCTGATGTCATCCGCACTTCTCCCTCGAATGCTTCGCAAGGTGACTGTTTTAGTAGATCTCCTAATCTGTCTTTCATTCTTTGGGTTTCCAAGAGACATGTTTTATGAGGTTTGATTTTGGATTCTATAGCTTGTGTATTCACTCTAGGCATCAATGCCCCTCCCCGGAATCTAAGGATGTAAGAGGCCGGCGATCTTTGCCACGTAGCACAAGTAGGCTTGATTTAGCACACGGGACCTTTCAAGAGCCTCCGGCCCCTCTCTGTGGCTCCTGAATAATTTCAAGCAGCTTAAGTTTTGGGAAAGTCTGGTTTAGGGTTTAGGGTTTAGGGTTTAGGGTTTAGGGTTTAGGGTTTAGGGTTTAGGGTTTAGGGTTGACGGTTTAGGGCTTAGGGTTTAGGGTTTAGGGTTTAGGGTTTAGGGTTCAGGGTTCAGGGTTCAGGGTTCAGGGTTTAGGGTCCGGGTTCCTGAGATACAAGAAAAGCTTAACGCTACTTCAGTCAAGTTACATGTGTTCAATCCCAGGGCAGGCCAGCCAAGGCTTTTGACGTTTTTCAGAACTTCATTTCAATTATGTCCTGTTCTTCAATGTCCTGTGGTTTAGGGGTTTGGGTTTAGGGTTTAGGGTTTAGGGTTGAGGGGGAGCCCAGGGAAAGCCAAGAGTAAATGATTGAACGATTGCCGAGCCTTCGCCCCCGGATTCGCCAAACGGGCTTGTGTCGGAAGGGACGGTAGAGCGTGTGATCGGAGACGGCAGTTGGCATGTTTAAGTAAGCCTGAGAGACCCCACATGAGCAATTGAAAACCCTAAATCCGAAACCCTCAACCCTTTTGAATGGAAGCCTTCCAGCGAAGTAGCTTCCCTCAGCATGTTGTGGATCACGCTCTGGATGCTCGTGCGGCTACGTGGGAATCGTGCGTAAAACAAGTCCTTAAAACAAATCCCAAGGGGTTTCTGGGAGGCAAAAGAGGGTGTAGCAAGTTTGCCTTTTTCTGAAGAAAATTGAGGGTTTGTTTACCTCTGTACACAAGCTTAGCAGCTGCTAAGCAGACCTATTTATGGTGCACGGGGGACGACACACGCCCTTTGCACTTTTCAATTTCCACCTTCCACTTTTTACTTTCAACTACTTGTACCTTTTTACTTCCCACTTTTCATTTTTCACTTTCCCACTTTTTTTCTGCGCGCTTTCCACTTTCCAGTTTCTTTTCGTGATGTTACACTTCCACTTTCGATTGCTCATTTTTGCTTGAGGGGTTAGACGTAAAAGGGTACTAGTCCATAATGGAAAGTGGACCTTGGACTTTGGGACTGCCCTGAGAATGTTGAATCTTGGATCTGGGGGGGGGGGGGAGGTACGTAAAGCATGAACATATAGATACTTATGCATCTCTTTCTTTGCATGTAGTTTCTTTCTTCATCTTTGGGTTCATCTAAACAAAAGCAAACCCAGGCCTGAACAGGACGCGGCTGGGGATGATTGCAACCCACTGGACTCACCTCGCAGGGCATCGTAGGGGCGAGGTCGATGCCGACGGCTACCTTCTCAACGGCACGGGAATCCTCGAGCGTGGCGAAAACGCGGAGAACGTCTATGCCATGGAGGCCCAGAGGGCCGGCGCCCGGATTTTCTCCGCGAACGTGGACACCGCTTGGGATGCGATCATGGTCGCCAAGCACGGCGACATCTTTACGGCCAGGAAGCTGCTGATGGACCAGAGGGTTGACAGGATCGAGGGTTTGGAGGTTCCTGAGCACTCCGGGGCTTCGAACCAGGGGGTTTGGGCGGGAAGTCGGGTGCGTGGCAACGTGACTTGATCATGGTGGGGTAACTTTTTACATCTTTTTTAAGGGTACTTATAAAGTTCAATAAGGAATTGCACTTTAAGTGTTTAATACTATCCCAATCATGAACTAGGTGAGGTACATCCAGGACCAGGACGTGGATGCCGTCATCGGTGGCTGCACCGAAGTGGGCCTTGCCCCCTTGGCCGCCTTGTGAGCTTTGTTTTACAGACTTGACTTGTGTGAACAAGAGCCCATCAACATGGTTGAACCTGTAGAGGGTTCTCAAAAAAATAAGGCTTTAAGCCAAGAAGATCTTGATTCCATCTCTTCTCCCGGCTCCATCGCCTTCGTGGACTCGGGGGCGGTCATGGCCGAGGTCTTGGCGAAGAAGGCGTTGGCCAGAGGCGGCGCCATCTCCCTCTGCGACGAGGCCCCGTCAAGGTAGCTCCGAACGCGCCGGCGCCGTGGCTTGAAGAAGGGCGGAGGGACGGAAATGATGAGTGTGGTGCTTAGCTTGGCCGACCTGGCGATAGCTGCTAGCAGATACACTCGTGATGCGTAGGCCTCGGGGTGAGGAGTACGCCAAAGCTAGGCCACAAGCTGAGGCAGAGTCCGGGCAAAGCCCGAGGCTTTTCTTAGCCGTCGTAGCCAGAGACTGAAAAAGTTCATGTCGGCATCCAAGCGCAAACCTTAGGCTCTTCGCTGATGATGATGATGATGATGATGATGATGGCGGTGATGATGATGATGATGATGATGATGATGATGTTGTTGTTCGAGATCTCGGCAAAATTATCTGTCGTCGGCCGGTTGAACAAATTCCCCTTCACAGGTTTGGGGGATGGTCGTTCCAGCATTTTCCAGGTGTGGCAGTTTTGTGGTTCGGACAGCTCCATTTAGGGTTCAGGATTCACGGTTCAGGGTTTAGGGTTTATGGACTTTCGCGGCCGTGAAGGCGCCGACGTTGTGAAGGTGCTGGCACGGGACGAAGCCCTCTTCTTGACCTGATGGTTCCAGGATTCCTAGTTGAGGCTTAGCGTTCAGGGTTCAGGGTTCAGGGTTTAGTTCAGTGCCTGTGACTTCAGAGCACTTGCGAACCCTAAACCTCAGACCCCAAGCAGTCAACTTTTGGAAGCTTGGGATTCATGGATGGAGAATTTCGAGGCTCCGACTTACGGCGTTGAGTTTCAACACATCCTGAAAAAGCCCAGCCGAGCAGCAACCCTGAGCCCGAATCCACCACCCGGAACCCCCTTAACCCCCTCCCCCCCCCCACGTCTGCTGCAAAAAGCAACCTGTCTAGATTAATCAATTGACGGATTATGCTGTCCACGCAGCAGGCCGGTGCATTTTTCCAAACATTGTGTGGCCCAGCAGGCAAAGCGTAGGTGCGATTCTTTGTTGTTTTTCTGGCCGCCATGGCCGGGAGTGGATTGGAGGTCGTTGTGGGAACTCCTTCTGAAGTCTCGAAAGAATCTTCGCAGGATTCCCTGGATTTTTTCGAGGGTCTCGTCGAGGTCGTGAGCCAGATGAAACTTGTCTGAGATGGAAAGCTCTAACCCTCTTTTGTGCGCTACGTACCAATCCCCTTGCAGCAAAAGCCGACAGTTAACCTGGCCCCCCAACCTCAAAGCCTCATGCCACGTCCCTTGAAAAAAACTCAGCCAGTGAGGAAAGCCGTCAGGCCGGACATTGTGCGAGGGATCCCCGTTTATCGTGTGTTGCAGCGCATGCCGCGCAAGTGGTTGGCAGGAGAGAGGAGGAAGTTTTATGGACTCAGTGACTATGATTAAACCCTATAAATTTATTTATGGTCTGTATGAAAATATTTCTGCACTATAGTACCAAAACCCTATTGAAGATTCTTAAGGCCCTTGTATGGATAGCTGAGGGTTTTGTTTTGGGGCTCATTTTGCACTTTCTTTCTTGCGGCTAAAAAGCAAACCTTGCAGACCCTAAACCTTGCATGTACTCTCATAGTGCTTGGAAAAACCCTAAACGCTAATCCCTAAACCCTAAACCCTAAACCCGAACCCCAAAACCCTAAACCCTAAATTCCCACCCAGGCCTGCTTAGGCCGTACCCGCCCTTGTCTAGGGTGCCTGGACCCAGAACTACACCCCCACTAACACCATCGCTTGGAGCTACTATGCAAAACTTTCGCCCAAAACTACGGACACAAACCCTGTACAATTTCTATAAAGCCTAAAGCCTAAAGCCTAAAGCCTAAAGCCTAAAGCCTAAAGCCTAAAGCCTAAAGCCTAAAGCCTAAGCCTAAAGCCTAAAGCCTAAAGCCTAAAGCCTAAAGCCTAAAGCCTCAAGCCTCAAGCCTCAAGCCTCAAGCCTCAAGCCTCAAGCCTCAAGCCTCAAGCCTCAAGCCTCAAGCCTCAAGCCTCAAGCCTCAAGCCTCAAGCCTCAAGCTTACAGCCTACAGCCTACAGCCTAAAGCCTACAGCCTACAGCCTACAGTCTGGAGCCTAGAGCCTGGAGCCTGGAGCCTGGAGTCTGGACCCCAGAGCCCTAGAGCCTAGAGCCTAGAGCGAGCCTAGAGCCTACTAGAGCCTGGAGATTGGAGTTTAGAGCCTAGAGCCCAGAGCCCAGAGCCTCGAGCCTGGAGCCTCGAGAGCTAGAGCCTAGAGCCTAGAGCCTAGAGCCTAGAGCCTAGAGCCTAGAGCCTAGAGCCTAGAGCCTAGAGCCTCCTAGAGCCTAGACCCTAGACCCTAGACCCTAGACCCTAGACCCAGACCCTAGACCCTAGACCCTAGACCCTAGACCCTAAACCCTAAACCCCAAACCCCAAACCCTAAACCCTAAACCCTAAACCCTAAACCCTAAACCCTAAACCCTAAACCCTAAACCCTAAACCCTAAACCCTAAACCCTAAACCCTAGGCCAGCCAAGGTGAGGTGGCGTCTGAGCATCTGGATGAGTTCTGGTCTCATAGCTGGCGCACCATGGCCTGGCTCAAGTATGTCAACATCCTCTTCCTGAACCTTAGGGATCCTTTGGAAACATTTTTTCCCGTTTTTTGGGTACTTTCATTCCAGTTTTTTGGGTACTTTCATTCCGAAGAAACAAATAGAATCAACAATTCTGCTAGGGCTCCAAGTTCAGTATAGGAACAACGGCTTTCCCGCGTTCGTGGTTGCCGCTCTTTGTGCCTGTGCAGCTTTCTCCGCAGCTGTGTCAGGCATCTTGCCGATACAGCGCGAGCCTTATCAAGTAAGCATCGCACATGCATGGTGCACCATAGCTGGCACCCTTGGCTACTACGTGACCCTTTTCCTCTGGAAGAGCAGGACGCCAGTCTGAACCCCGGGGCCGCTCCAGTAACTATGACAACAAGATATGGCACGGATTGAAGTGCTAGTTGCCAAGACCGAACCTAGATGCTCCTACAGAAAGGGACATGTGCCTTAATTGCTGGTATATCTACCCCCCATTCAGAAGGTATACAGGTTACTTTAGGTAGACCCAAAGCCCTAAACCCTAAACCCAAAACGGGAAAACAGGGAGAGCCCCCAAACTTGTTAGAAGCTATCATTTGGGGTTTGCCGAACTGAGATCGACAAGTGCATTCGCGAGGGTGAGGGGCAAAAACGTTTTGGGGTTTCAGAGTTCATCATGTGTGCCTTATCTTTTTTGGCGTGAAGCCTGTTTTTGACCATGTCGCTGGCCATTCCGCTCGGTAGGAAAATGGCTTTCCTTGATGTCGCCTGCATCAGCCAGACTGACGAAGCGCTGAAGGGTGTCGGCTTGATTAGCGCCTCAACACTCATTTGGGCTTTCGAGATTACCTTACCAAGAATGCTCGCGGCGGGGGTTTAGGGTTTAGGGGGGCTGTTCAAGCCAGCACCCTGAATGCTCAACAAGTCCAGAGCCCGCTTCTTCCCTGAGATCCGAGGCATGGGTGCCTTTCTGCGATGCTTCTTCTTCGGGACCAAGAGCCGTTTTTTCTTTGACCATGGGGGCTTACGGGACTCTGCGTACTTTGCTGGGGAAGGTTCTGCTTTTTGTTTATGGCCTTGTTGTGAAGGGCAGCGTGCTACCCTATGAATGACTTGTGCTTATGCTCTTGTAATGCAGCATCGCAACTTCGAGTTCTAGCACTTTCTTCAGAGGTTCGAAGTCGCTGCTCGTCCTTTGGGATGAGACATGGATCATGAGAATGTGGTGCGTGTTCGACACCAGGTGCTTTGTGGCAAGGTTGTGCGCTTGCATGTAACAGAAAAAAACAGCATCCAAAGCAATCTCGAGTACTGTTCTGTAGTGTTAGTACCTCATGCCTTAAGAAACGCAGCTAACAAGTTTTCAGCCTTCTAGGTTCCCAATTTGACATTGCAGCCGCAGTAATATAAGGAGATGGCAGGTTTCTTACACAGCAAAGGGCCTTGCGCAGACAAGTCGGTGCTGGTTTGCCCAGTATTCACGGGCCCCGCGCTTGTTTTGGCCCACCTGGGTCTCAGCGTGCTCCTGCTTACATTGTTCTGTACGGGCCTGCCTTTTTATCCATGGGCTGGAGTCTTCGCATCTGCAATGTTGTTCCCGTGCCTGCTGCTCCTTGCCCGTGTGGTGATTCACCACTGTCGAAGCATTGATGCGATTCAATGTCAAGTCCGTCATTTCACGGTTCAACAGTGCTCGTGTACCTGCTGTGGCTGCGGTCACATGGATGCCAACGGCAGCACAATGAACTGTGACCGCCTCATCATCCTTCGTTGCATTTCTGCTTGGTTCGGGTCTGTGGCAAGCTTCGAATCCCTCGTTCGGACCCGGCTTTTGAAGGCTTTGGTCTACCAGCTTGCAAATCAGGCGTTCTCCTATTGGCGCATCGTGCAGGCGGCAAGCCCAGTTGCGTTTGCCGTATTGGACCTGCTTTACTGGCACTATCCGGACAAGATCGTAATAGTACTGGAAGCGACGCTGAAATCTGCAACTTATCTCTTCTGTGTGGTTCCATGCCTAGCTCAGCTTCTACTTCGCCTGGCCTACAGAATACGCAACCTTGGACACAGCAAGCTGGCACAGTGGCTGCTTTCTGCTGTGCTCGTGGCCGCACTGCGTCATCGTTGGCACACATTTTCCGGTTTGCTGTACCATATTTGCTCTTGCTCTAGCTACGTAGCAGAAGAGTTGGCGAGTTTAGGGACAGCACATGACAGCACTCAAGGCAGCGTCGCTGCTTTATGGCGCCTACTTCTTTTGCGAAAGCGCTCTTCGCAGCCTGTCCTCGGATACTTTTGGGCAATTCGTGCCTGCGGACCTTGCGTTGCTGACAGTGATGGGTACAGCCACCGTGGCTCTGTGGAGGTGCATGCCCGCGGTTGAGATGATTGAGACGCCCCAAGATCCCGCAGGGGGATCAGAGCCTGCCTCACCCACAGCTCCAGTTTTTGCTGCGCCTGGAACGAGCCTGAGTCTGTGAGCATTTTTCTTCTAAAATTTTCCAGACAGGCGCAGATCACAGTCCTGCACAAACACTAAAGTGAGGGTTCAGTGGTGCCACACCTCGACCTTGAATCGTAGTTTCGTTTTTTTTGTTCGTAGAATCCATGAAGCTTTAAGGAATCCAGCACCAAGAACACAAACTAGTGGTCTAGGCAGCAATGACGTGGACACGCCCGCAGCGCGGAAAAACTCATCAAAATCGACAAGCCTGCTTAAGTTCTTCTGGGTTGAGGGATCAGGAGGGTTGGGGCTTTAGGGTGGGGCTCTTTTTGTTGGCATTCTTCTTTTTTAAAAGGGGGCTCTTTTTTTGAGGCTCTATGTTGTCTTAGAAAGAGAGGGAAACTTGTATTTTCCTCAGTTTTCTCTCTCTCGCTCTCTTTCTTAGTAGGAAAACCCTCTACTTTCTGCGCATTTCCATAGAAAGAAAGAAAGGAATCAACCCCACACCCTTGTTTCTAGGGAACCGAAGAATGGACCCTTGTTATGTATATACTGTATATAGATACCTAGGTGGGGCTTTGCTTCAACGTTAGCACTTTATATGAGTGTTGGGGTTCCTCTAATTTCAAATTAAGGGAGCTAGAAGTTCAACTTGTTAAGTTCAACTTTTTATGGGGGAGTTAAAGAGCAACCAAGTTATATAGAGCTTCTATAACAGGGGCTCGACATTAAGAGCCTATGCTCGGGACCCTACATTAGAAAGCTGAAGCATCTTTTTTCTCTTTTTTAAAATGTTTGTTTGCGAGGTTCAGGGTTTAGGGGTTGCTAGATATTTTACTAGGAAAACCTTTCTTTTCTCTAGATTCTAATAGGGAAACCTCTATTTTCTGTGTGTTTCAATAGGCAAGCCTATATTTTCTGTAGATTGAGTCGTGCAAGCTTGCTTCAAACATACCCCAAGTCAATAAGGATTCGAGCTGAGCTAGTCGACGTCCCATGCAAGTTTAGAAAGAAATCGTACGAGAAGTAGTACGAAGCTTGTGACAATATACGGGATCCTAGTACAGTATGACGGTGGTTTTTCTTCGGGAAAGCTTGCAGGTTTCACTTCGCATGAACAAAGCAACGCTACGGGCAAAACCAAAGCAGCAGAGCTCGAACGAATACGGAGTCGAGCAAAATGAATAAGAATCCTACGATGAATTTAGGGTTTAGGGTTTAGGGTTTAGGGTTTAGGGTTTATGACTCCAACATAAAGGGAGCACAGGTGTCTCTTCGGGAAGATTAAGGAAGCCGTGCCAAAATCAATAAGGATTCGAGCAGCGAAAGGCACTATGAATCCTATAAGAATACAGAGAATGGAGGTTTCCCTAAACCGTAAACCCTAAACCCTAAACCCCAAACCCTAAACCCCAAACCCTCAACCCTAGGGTTTTCCGAGGCAAAGCCACGAACATGGACCAAGCAAAGTCCCCACGTAAAAGGCCCCGAAAAGAAGACCCCAAACAAATGCCCCTAGGCCTTATGCAGCACAAAGCCGACGGCACAGCAAGAGAGAACAAGGGTTTAGGGTTTAGGGGTTTAGGGGTTTAGGGTTTAGGGTTTAAACCCTAGGGTTCAGGGTTTGGGTTAAGGGGTTAAGGGGTTAAGGGGTTTAGGGGTTTAGGGGTTTAAGGGTTTAGGGGTTTAGGGGTTTAGGGGTTTAGGGGTTTAGGGTTTAGGGTTTAGGGTTGAGGGTTTAGGGCAACGACGGCACGGGAAAAAAAAGCGCGCCTAGGCCGTACGCGGCCAAAACATTGAAAGCAGGGCCGCCTAGTGCTCACGCGGCCAAAAACGACGGCACAGAAAACAAAACATCGCGTCCCGATCCTAGCAAGCGTGTCTGTTTTTTTTTGCTTTGCCGCCGCTGATTCGCTGCCAGCATTCCCCTGGAGAAGCGACCGCACAGGAAAAACCGAGAAGTCCGAGAAAAACGGCTGCACAACAAAAAAGGCGGCAGAGGAAAAAAGAAAACACCTCGGCCACCACTAAAGCGAATCACCAAGTCAGAACCCAGCCCTTCCCGCTCAAGCCTTCATGCGGACCCCTAGACCAAACCCTAAGTGCGTCAACCCTTCCAGTTTCAGAAAACCTCCCAAGCCCGACTACTCTCCCAGTATCTACCCGAATCTACCCCCCCCCCCCCTCCCTCCCGGACGAAAACAAGCCTCAAAACCTCTATAAAGCCTTGCCTTCGTTTGCAGCTTCAACAACCCTAAATCCTAAACCCGAGAAGTCCGACCAACCCTACAAGGGCGGAATAGAGAGACTTCCTCTCTCTTGAGCTGACAGGCGTTCTCTGTGCCTGCTTGGCCGGTCCTCTACGCGAGGTTATTGTCTACGACCCCGCAGCCCTGAACCCCAAGCCATAAACCCTAAACCCAAAAAACCCTAAAAACCCAAAAAACCCTAAAAACCCTAAACACCCTAAACCCTAAACCCTGACCTCGTTTCTAAAGGCGCCTTTAAAGACTCTTACTGTGCTGCCAGGGGGTCTCAGCCTCAACCTGATCCACCCAAAACCCTAACCTTACAAACCCTAAAACCAAAGCCTTTGAAACCTAGAACCTTTGAAGCCTGAAGCCCCAAAAAAAGCCCCCCCCCCCCAACCCAAGCGACCAGGGGAGCCTCTTCGCCAGGCTGTAGAACTCTTTAGGGTTTAGGGTTGAGGGTTTAAGCCCGAAACTGTTTCGTTTCCGTGGGCTATGTGTGCTGGGCCTGGCTCAATGAGGAGCAGCCGATGCAGTATCTTCTTGTGAACAAAGCCAGCGTGACCTTTCCCCAGACCCATGCCTCAGCTGATGCGACTCCTGCAGTTCTTAGCCCTGCTGCAAAAACAACATGTCTAGATTCATAAATTCACGGATTATGCTGGCCACGCAGAAGGCCGGTACATTTTCTGAACATTGTGTGGCCCAGCGGGCAAAAGCATATTTGTGCGACTCTTTGTTGTTTTTCTGGCCGCCATGGGATTGGAGGTCGTCGTGGGGACTCCTTCTGAAATCTCCGAAGAATCTTCGCACTCCAAAGAGTTGGCGCTCTTTCAGAGCCTCTTACAGGTTGTGACCCAGATGAAACTTGTCTGAGATGGAAAGCTCCAACCCTCTTTGTGTTGCTACATACCAACCCCCTTGCAGCAAAAGCCGAAAGTTAACCTGGTCCCTCAGCCTCAAAGCCTTGTGCCACGTCCCTTGGAGAACTCAGCCAGTGAGGAAAGCCGTCAGGCCCGACATTGTGCGAGGGATCCCCGTTTATCGTGTGTTGCAGCGCATGCCGCGCAAGTGGTTGGCGGGAGAGCGGACGGAGTTTTATGGACTCAGTGACTAGACCCTATAAATCCTAAGCCCTGCATAAACATACATATGTACCATAGTACCAAAA